AAAATTAAAAAAAAAAATAAGCTAAAAAAAAAAAACAAAATTTTAAAAAAAAAAAAAAAAAAAAAAAACAAACAAAAAAAAAAACTCCCATTTTTTGATAAAATGTTTTTGCACAAGGACAAGTTGGTTTTTCAGCTGCATAGAAAGAGATCTATTTTGCAAAACTGCAATGGAGACATTTTTTTTGCATTGCACGAGTCACACAACTGACAGACGGATGTTACTACTGGCGAAAATCACAAAAAGACAACAGGAAGTGATAGGATAGGATAGTGATAGTCAGCGATCTATCACCTGAAGAACATTATGGTTAAAGGAATGTCTAGTGCCTTAGCAAAGTCTAGAGAAACTCATAGATGAGTTTAGTCTTATTTATTACTGCAACATAGTCTTTACAGGTCTGCCTAAGAAATCAAACCTCCAGCTGCAGCTGATCCAGAATGCTGCTGTTTGTGTCCTGACTAAAACCAGGAAAATAGAGCACATCACTTCACTCTCTTTTTCTGTCCCTCTTACCCAGTGTTTTTGGTCTAGTTTCAAGAGCAAATATCCTAAAACACTTGAAATAAAATAAAACTACAAGGAAGTTTTCAGCAAGATATTGGAGCTTGTTTTAAGTTAACAGAACCCTGGCAGATTCTCTCACTTATAACATGGGAAAATGTCTTGCTATAAGTGAAATAATCTGCCAGTGCCAGTAGTACTTTTTCATACATTTTAGGAAATTATTTTGTTCCTACATCTCACTGAAAAGTTACTTGTGAGTTTATTTTGTCTTATTTCAAGTGTTTTAAGATAATTAAACTAAAAGACATTTGGTAAAAATTTTGTATTTTTGCAGTGCATTCATCACTGTTTTTAAGTAGGCCCACTACTTTACACTGAATCTCTAATTTCTTACTGAAGTCCTATTTACTTTGGGCATTTTACTGTCATCAGTTGAGAGGTTTTACTCCATGCACTGTATTTAACTCATGCTAGGCTGCTAGTACCGATTAGACATCCACTAGTTCGGGTTGCTAGTGGAAACAAACATTTCATGTTGATTTAAACAATAAGAATAAAAGGGTTGGTAAAACCAGGGGATGCTTTTGTGCTGACAAATGATTTAGCTACAGTTCCTCTGTGCTGTAGAGTTCAGGACAAGAATTCAGTGAAAGTGGGAGGCTAAAGGAATGATTGGTAGAGACATTTTTACTGATATGATGATGAGATTTTGAGTTCTAAAAATAAAAGAGGTTAAAAACTGGCTAAATAACATCAGCCCTGGTTAATGTCTGCGACAAATGTGATGAAAAGCCCTGTGACCGGAGTTTTAATATGACAAAGAAAAACCTCCAGCTGCAGCCAGTTATGATCACTCAGCAGATATTGATTGGCCTTCTCAAGTCAAAAGACATCCCAGAGCCATTAGCAACACACATAAGCCTGTATGTATACATTTTGGCTCTGTTGGATTAGAGAAAACACTAAATAAATTCAAATTGGCCAGAACATTTGCGGTTGTAAACCAGTTCTCGCTGGAAGAAGAACAAGTCATTAAAAATCATTTTCATTCACTTCAAGTGTTAAATGTTCCTCAGAATAACACATCTATAATCATCAGATTTATATTTACAAGAAATGATCATCCATGAACTTCAAAGCAATGACACATTTTGTTCTCTGTAAAATATTATTTCCAACATCTGTCAGCAATGTGGCTTCTATCTGATCTACTTGTGATAATTCCTGCTGCACATGTCTGACACTGTAGCGTCATTCCAGTATCCTCCTCTGCTGTGCCTCACTAAAGATTTTGCCTCACAATTTGCCGCATTTTTTTTATTTATTTTTTTTTATGTCCTGCTGCTTTTGTTTTGTTTTGTCGCTGAGTTACCAAGCGACAGCGATATCAAAGAGGCTCAGGGGCTTTCTTCTCTTTTGTTGATTCTTTGTCACATTTCAAATAATAAAAAGAAATTTAATATCGGACATAACTGAAACCAACTGAGACAATACGGGAGCACCAATTGCAGTTTTCTGACCAATCGCCAACATCATCGTTAAAAATTCTGACTTTTGTAAAATGTGCTTCCTTGGTATTCAATAATAATAATAATAATAATAATAATAATAATAATCCAAACCTACCGATTTTGGAAAAATATTTTTTTGTTGTTGTCTGAAAATAGCAACAAAGTCAGTAAGCTTACAACAGTGGCTATTGTTAACCACACTGTTGTTAGCTTAGCAACTTGGTTGCTATTTTCAGCACATTAAATTTCAATATTGCCACCTTCAACAAAATAATGTGTTTTTTTTTTTGCTAAAAATGATGATGATTATTTATTTATTTTTGCTGAAAACATTTTTTGAAAAGAAAGAGGTGGTGATTTTTTTTTTGTGTTTTTTTTTTTTGGACAAAATCAGTTTTGGCAAAACCCCCAGACATTTTGGAAGGTGAGGATATAACAGACATAGTTGTGTAGCTGTAAGAGGACAAAAAATGAAATAAAGAACTGTATCTCAAGCTTTTTTTGATACTCACATTAGACAAGCTTTTCATACTGATGGCAGTGACAGAATCAGAACCGGTCTGCTGACTCGTCCTAATGGCCTGAAGAACCTCTTTCAGCGTAGCCTCCAAGTCTGTCTTTGCTTTGGACAGCTCTGCCACTGTAGATTGACACACCGTGACACACATACAAAAGCAAACAAACGGCCCTCTGAGACAGTCAATATGCTGTTTACTAATTCAGTTCAACAGTGTCCTTTCTCTGAGAAAATCTCAAACTCACGTTGAGCCTGAAAATCGGACTTGTGAAGTTCAAGCTCCCTCTTCTTGCTGCTCAGTTCTTTCTCTAGGTATTCATTCTGCAATGCAAAGTTAACGTTAGAGAAATAGATATATGTAGTGAAATATACATATGGTGTTTTCCCCTCATTTTAACATCTTCTATAAGTCTGAGAGCTTCTGAATACAAGCCTGGATAAACCTAAAATTGCATCACAATATTTTGTGGTATTATTGAGATAAAAGTGACGGTGAAAATGATTTATTACTTGTTTGTCAGTAACTGTGTGACTATGACCACATGAAATACAAAGGCTGTTCTTGAATAAGTGTGTAATGCTCTTTTTTCAGGACACCAGTCAGATAACAAGTGCAGTTCATATCACTAAGCTGCACACAGTAGCTCCATTAACTCATATTTTCAAATTTGCTGACATTTATCAACGTTCTTGATGAAAGAAATGATGGAGAAACAGTAAAAGCAACAATCCCAACAGTTCTTTGGGGAAAATAGGAATTTAAATATAATTAATTGGAATGATAAATCAAAAAATCTTTTATCGTGAAAATAAATTTATCACGATAAATGATGCAATAAATGCTCACACTACTTACACATCATCAGGTTTTTAAACACATCCTCTTTGAAGTTGTGATCTCCAAATAATAATCCTAACTCTACTCTGTTTTAACAGAGTAGAGCAGAGAGCAGATGTTCTAGTAATTCTGTCATTTATGTAAACAGAGACAATAATACAGATTTAAGGCATTCTACTAATGCGAGGCGGATTAACTTTGGATGACAAATGACAAATGAGCAAGAACTGATTCAAGTGGGAACTGAGAAGGTACTTCTGAATGTTTAGGCACTGAAATATGAACATAAATGAACAAATCTATTTTTTAACGAGACATATTTTGCCATAGGAAAAAAAAGTAATGAGTTTTACCTTTTGTCTGATCTTGTCGTCAGTGTAGATTCTTCCTTGTGCCTCTTCTTTTCTGCCAGACCAGACATCTTCCTGCAGCTGCACACTTGACTGTGGGATTCCAGCAGGCACAGCTGATCACCAGGAGCAAATGTTAAGTGGTTTAAGAGTCAAAATGAAAATTTTAAGCAGCTGTAGCACACTTCTTCTCAAAATTAGATGACTGCATCTTCATTTATCCTGTTTTTCCTAGAGATTCAGCTTCATGTTCTTCAAACACTCAGAACTCGTAACCTTCCCACATAGGATTCAGGTGCAGCTCCCTATGAACTGAAAGTTGCCATAAAATGTCCACATCACCACCACAGACATCAAACTTTTCATATATTTTTTAAAACTCGTCGAACAACCATCCATACCTTCCTTTCTATGCTGTAGTTATGCATGACTTTGTGTTCTACCACACGAAATTCCAATAAAACTTTATTGAAGCTTGTGGTTGTAATATGACAAGATATGAAAGAGTTAAAGGAGGTGCTGCACGGCGTATGGAATGTTAATGTGAAAACAGTGCAGAATCACGTTTTATTCTGGGTATTTCTTGTGTTTTGGAGTTCTGTATCCAAAAGAAAAGTGATAAAAGGGAGCACATTTTTTCAAAATGAGGCCAAAACTATTTTTAGACTTATTTTATAGCCTGTTGCTGGTTCTCAAAAACACTGAAGTTAACAAATGGCAATCAATTTAATGAACTAATACATAGAGGTGGGCTGAACGATCCAAAATATTGATAATACCCATACTAAATCTGTATCGAATCGATTCTACAGTGATGAGATTGATATTTTAGTTTCAGATTCTCTCTTGAAATCTTATTTAATTTTGTAATGCAGTTTCTCAACTCTACCATAAAAACAACTTTGCTTAGATTTTCTCTCAAATGATATGTTTTTTTTTGCACTTTATTTACAAAACAATTGACAAAAATTTGTCTAAATTAAGTATGAAGTCTTTGTAAGCAAAACTGTCCTTCAAATAAAAGGGGCTGGTTCAGACCAACCCAACTGAAGATTTTTGTCATCCAGTTTTTGGTAGAAAGAAAGAGAGAAAAGAGAAAGTAACAAATCGAGCAAATGGATATTATTGTGCTGGTTTTAATTTATCACGCAATTAATTGATTTATTTCGACAGGCCTATTAGGAAATGCTTTGCACTATTTAAATCAGGCCTTTCACCTTTTTCTTTCACCAAGCGCCTGATTTGTTTCTTCAGCTCCAGCCGCTCTTCTTCCAGTCGCTCAATCTGAAAAGAAATCCATCGGCGTGTTGACATGAGGCCTCTCTAGCACTTCTAACAGCAACAGTCTGATCTCCTTTGAACGCAGCCTTACCTCTTTGGCAAGAACTTGGTTTTCGGCTTTGTACTGGCGCTGCCTGAGATCCCTGGCGCGCCTGAATTCTGTCAGATCCACTTCCTGCTTTGGCTCCAGACCTGCTCGCAACCGGAAAATCCCACCAAAAAAAGAACTCGTTAGAAATTTCCCCGTCTCAGATGAGCCAGCGTTGTCTAAACAGATGGAATACAGTGGTGTTTTTAAAAACTCTGACCCAGTTTTTCCCGGAGCTCCTCGTTTTCATCCATGAGGTCATTGATTCTCAGCTCGAGCTGGTTGATCTCTTTGGTCATGGCCTCTGCCTCACGATCTCTCATTCTAATTTGATTGTTACACTCTTTGATCTCGGCAATGGCTGCTTCCAAGCCGTAAGTGCCCTGCCGTACAGAAACAGCACTGTGATTTGTTGTCCGTCAAAAAAATAAATAAAATAAAAAGGCACATCTTGTCTCACTTTTGTTTATTTCCTTCTTTTTTGGGGGGGGAGGAAGTAAAAGGGGTGGGAGTCAGGGTGAGAGCTTAACTTTGGTGAAAAAACAAACAAACAGTACGCTTGTGGACCCAAAAAGCATGTTGATCATGCCACAGTCACATAGGTGTTTTAACATCCCTATTTAAAAGATGGTGAAAAAGAAAAATCACAGGCCTTATTTCTGGGAAATTAGGAGTCAGTTAATTCAATTTGGATAAAAACAAGTCTCGGAAGCTGAGGCCAAAAACAAAGGCAGGAACAAAAAAAAGGTATTTGTGGACTTACAGACTCGTACTGGCTCAGGCGATTTGACGCCTCAATAAAGGCTTTGTCTTTTTCCTCAGCATGTGATTCTGCCCGTCTGAAGGCCCGCTCTGCTTCCGTCGCTCTGGCCTCCGCCACTTTCAGTTTAGACTGCAGCTCCTCCATCTTCCTCTGCTGTAACGTCGAAGGAGCACCTGAGACAGAAACATGTTATTAAATTACATTTACCAGTCAAACACTGTTAAAAATCCAAGTTAGTAACAAGTTCACATAAGCCCATCAGAAGTATGATTGTTAGAATTGCGGCTTTTAAAGATGTTTTTAACTGTTCCCTTTTCAGATTGGAAAGCTTCTACAATAATATTTATAAACTAGTGGTGGAACTCGATTTAAAATGTTTAATTAATTGTTAATTGTAGGGTTTGTATTAGTTAGTTGCAATTAGTCGACTAATTAGGCAAAATTTTCATTTCCAAAATTCCTTTCTGCTGCTAAATTCTTGAATAAATAGACATATTAGCTCAACAGCAAAGATATTAATGTTTTTAATCTGTTATTTAGGCTTTTCAACCATCAGGAAGGTGCAAAGTGGTGTTATATCCATTCAGTTTTCAAGTGTATCTTTAGAAATGTGGACTCTGGGTGCTAACATTAGTGTTGGAGACGTCTGTGGTGCTGCAACATGTTTAGCATTGAGATGCCATTTTAGGCTTGGATAGCTTCACTAAGGCTAACTCCTTTTAGGACACTACAATAGTCCTTCCCACTGTCTAACCAGACCGTATTTTGACGGAAAAATGAACTAAGAGAACTAATGACTAATAACTAAGAGAAGCGGCCTCATTGTCCATCATTGTTGTTTGCGGATGTCGCTTTTCTGCATCAAATTTAGAGTCATACAAGAAAAGCAGTAAAACAAGGATTCCCATGATAAAATTTTCAATGCATTAAAATCTTTGCAATCAATAAATCAAAATTAATGTGTTAAAAGTCCTGGACTTAATTTACGTACAATTTGATTAACCTCGTAGTCCTGGAAACTGTTTGTGATCAAAAAAACGTTCCAATTTTTGTATAGGCGCAATCCTCATCCTTTAATCTTCACAGCTCCCCATGATGATATTCGCATCATGGGTAGCAGCCAATTCAATAAATTCTATCAGGCAAATCTTTTTTATGCCGGCAAAAAAAAAACTAAACGTTGCATTCAACATATGGTCACTAGCTATATGTTCATAAGCTGGAACTTTAAGTACAATCAATCAGGAGATTAGTGTGAATGTTTGTAAGCCTGTGGAGATTAGAGAAAATCTGTTGGTAAATCAAACTTGTTCACAGAGTTTTGGTTTTTAAACAAACTGAATATTTTATAACCATGTCAGTTCAAACAAATCCTCAGATGTCAAAAGTTAAAATGACATTTATGCCCATGACCAAACTACAACTGTACACTTTCATTTAGTAAAAGCCTGTACTTCACTTTATTTTTATTATTACACTAACAATCACCTTATAGAGGCAGATTTCTTTTACCATTTGGCAATGGAAGTATTATCAGGTTTGTGAGTGATGTTTTCACTTTGTAAAGTTGATATTTTCGCTAATAGTTCCAACATATAAACCCTACAAGCACAGGAGCGTTAGCATCCATTTGCCTCTGCCCCTCTCCCAGCCAACGAGGATTTTGACCTACATTCTGCCTTGTCAGCTGTGTTTTGGTCTGTACCGCTTTCTGAAGGAAACATCTGGCTTTTTAAACATTTAGAAATCTCTCGGCTGAAGGCAGCTAACTTTGCGTGACAAGAACGCCAATCGGAGAGGCAAGGCTAAACCGGCGTGGCGAACCGTGAAACCAAACTAGTGGCCTGTAACTTATCACATCTATCACTGTCATTCCTAATAGAAAGTAAAAATGCTTTTTATGAATATTTTTGTCCATAAGCTGAAAAAACTTTTCAAGCAGCTATAATTCTTTTATCTGGTATCTCATGAATAACATTTTTGTTTCTAACTGAAGTCATGAAGCCAACAACTAAAACAAGACATTTGATTGGTCAGTTTAAACACAGACCTCTATCTTTGTTTGTGGACATCTTCAGCTCCTCTATGAGCCGAGCGTGCTTTTCCATCTCTCCTGTGTACTGCTCCACCTGCTCGCTCAGCATCTTGATCTGATTATCTCGCTCCTGGACGGCCTATGGGGACATTCACAGACATTTCTGAATAATGACAGCTTAGCGACGGACTAAACAGGTTTGTAACTCGCCTCGCTGTGGGCGCTATGAGGCAACTTCTAAGACGAAAACAAGCAGAGACACGTGACGGATGGAACTTACACCACAGAGTTCATATATGACCTGGGCCAGAGCAGCGACAGAGAAAGAAGGGAGGACAGGTGGATGAGAATAAAAAGATGAAAATGAGGTAATGATGCAGGCAAAACAAGAAAAGAAGCCAAAAACTGGAAAATGGAACAAGCTGACATGTGCACAAACACAAAGTTTTCCATAGCAAACCTACCCGACATTTTATAACCACCTAATTCTACATATTTTATACATACTACTTGGGACGTTCCGATTGCAGTTTTCTGGCTGATCACTTATTTTAAAACACCTGACCTGCCAACTTCAATTTTGGCCAATACTGTAATTTTTTGTCTGAATAGTCAATAGAGCAACAAACTTACTAAGTTGCTAACAGTGGGGTGGGGTGGATATTATTAACTGAACATGTCCAGATGTGACTTTTAGGTCAGGTTTGTCAGTCAAACTTCTGTCACAGAAGACTGATGTTCAGACCTTTCTGTCGGTAAAAAATATCAGAGCATAAGATCCGTTATACATGTCAGACTGTTGATCACCCAAAATCAAGGAAATCTGGCCCAATTTATTGGTGCACCAATAATATATGTAATTTTTTTGTGTGTGTTTTTATTGTACACTTTTGTTGAAGGTCATACCAAGGTCACCATCTTCAAAAAAAAAAAAAAAAAAAAAAAAAAAAGGGGGCCAAAAAAAAGGGGGGACCAAAAAAAAAAAAAAACTTAAAGAAAAAAACAAAATTTC